GTGATTCGGCGGGCCACTGCAGATGACCTCGAGAAATTGCGGTGCAATCGACTGACGTAGCATGTCTGCCAGCTTGGACGGTACCAGAGGACTAGGGGGAGGGCACAGAGCCATCTTGGCAGGGTACATGGCGCTACCCCGACGTCTGGCTGTGGGTGTCTGGGGAAAATGGTTGTGGTAGAGTATAGTAGTAGTAGTAGTAGTAGTAGTAGCAGCAGTAGTAAGTGTTTGTCGACAGCCGGCGTCTTCACCCGGTGGCGACACGGGGCGTGTACCTCGTGCGCGGTGACCCCTGCGGGCGACCAACGCATCCAGGAACCTGGCGAACAATGGGTCGAGTATTCACAGGCACAGGGTCATGATTTTTGGGCAGTGCACCAGATGGCAGCGATAGCAGCGATGGCGGCAACGAGGGCGGCAACGAGGGCGGCACTGGTGGGCGGCAAAGAGGAAGCCACATGGCAGGCAGTTGTGAGGGCAGAAGCCGTGTGGTACGAGGAATGTACTGCTCTGCGACTTGCTACTTGCTGCTACTAAACGGCTTGACCGCCCAGCGGACGGCAGAAGTCAGGTACCCCGTGATGGAGGTACCCTGGTGTGCGGGGAGGGGTGTGATTAGCGCAAACGGCAGAAGCGAGCAGGGAGTGGCAAACAGGGCGAACGAGTACGGGGCGGGGTGGGTGAGGTGAGTAAGGCGGGTATTATGAGAGTGTGTGTGAGTGTGTGCGAGAGTAAGGTATGGGTAAGTAGATGGCTAGGTTTGGTGGTGAGGCTGGCGGGCCGGGGGAGGCTTCTTTTTTGGAGGTGTGGAGGCAGGATGGGAGTGTGGGCGTGGAGAGGGGAGTCTTGTGTGGTGCCATTGACTCAGGGTTCAAAAGAGGCGCACTGCCGGGCGAGGCAAAGCACATGGGCAATGGGCCAGTCGAGGGGGGCTAGAAGCGCGCAGGGGCCCAGTGTCGGAAGAGGCGAAGAGGGAAAAGGAACGCAGGCGGAAGACGAGGGTAGCTTCCGCGGGGGGACCCGCTATGCTACAAATAGACTAGCGCCTCACATGGCACGCTCAAGATTTTCCATGCTGTTGGCGGGCGAGTGGCTGAGTCAGCGGTATTGTACCGAATCTGTATCGCGGGCGGTAAAGTAATGTTTTTGGGCCGGGCGGGGGCGCAGGTGACGACGAGCTGCGAGCCCCATGGTGCAACGGATCCGCGAGCAACACACTCGACCCAGGACCAAGACCCACGACGGGAGGCAGACGGTGCAACCAGGCGGCTACGTCAGCACCGCACATGTCACGGCAGACGGCTGGTTGGCCGCGGCCGCCACAGCGTCGACGATTCATCGCCCGCCGCGAGCGCTGGGCGTGGCCGTGGCCGTGGCCGTGGCCGTGGCCGTGGCATGAGGCATGAGGCATGAGGCGCGAGGCATGAGATGCGACATGAGACAGACGGTAGACATGACGAGTCAGGGCGACATGTTCTGGAAGTCCCACAAGGGGAGCGCAACCTGGCCAGCCCGCACGTCCGCCGTGCATGCGAGCGAGACATCATGTGCCTCCCCACGCCCAGCCGCAGACCCATTCACATCACAAGAGCCACGCGCGCGGCGGCGGTACACGGGGGGGTGCACGCCGTGGGCACACCTGGCCCAGGTGGCGTTGGGGGCCCTGGATGCGTTGTTCTTCTCTCCAGGGCAGGGCAGGCAAGGCGACGACGAGAGGAGGCGGACAAGACGGAGGCTCTCTGTTGCTGCTGCACTACACCACCTCGTAGTATACATAGTAGCAAGTACCGTACGCCCGTATAGGCATGGCGACCTGGCCACGAGCGTCGCAGAGACTGACGCCATGGGCCACGGGCTCAGCGTGAGAATCGGCCAAAGAGCGGTAGAAAGGCCGGACGGGCTCTGGATGCAATCTGCCGGGGGTGCTCCGGCGGCCCTTATCCTAGGGCTAGGGATGCATGGGTAGGGTAGTGGGAGGGAGGGAGGGGTGGAGGGTGCGTGCAAGGGAAGGCAAGGGAGGTGTGGCCCAGGTCGTTGCTCTTGCTCTGGCCACACCCCTGTCGCTGCAGTCCGCGCACACGCTGTGGGCTTTATACATACCCAGATCCACTCCCACCTGTGCTGCCACCAGACGTTGCCCTCTCACACACCCACACTCACACCCACATCCACACACACATACATACTACACCTGCCCACAGTGCTCTCCTCTTCCACCATCACCATCATCAGCAACAATACCACCACAGCCACCAGCAACCCCATCCACGCCATCCCATCCATGTCTCCGCGATCCCTCTAGTCCCGCCGGCACTCCCTCTGCTCGGCTCTACTCCAACCCTCCCCCATTGACGCAATCGCAACTAAAGTAAACCGCCCACCTCCAAGAACCACGACCACGGAACCACGCCGTCCCCACTGCAACTCCCACCCCACAATCCCCGTCCCACGACCACCGACACTCGCTCCCGCCCTCTAACCTCCACATATACACACACACGCACTCTCAAGATATGCCTCTCCGCGCCGAACGGCCCATTGTGCGCGTCGAGCCCAGCTCCATGCGCACCATCGAAACCAGCAGCACAGAGAACCTCTTTGGCCTCTGGTCTGGTGAGTAAACCATGCAAGATCGAGCCACTGCAACCCACTGCAAACCCCACCCTCGCTGGGATTTGCAGCTGGACAGCAGCCTCACCACCATAGACACATGCACTAACACAGCTGCAACAGTCTTTGCGCGATGCTCTCCAGCCATGGAAGACGGCAAGCGCTACGAGAACATGGCATGGCGTCTTTGGTCTCGCGAGACGTTTTGCTGCCAGCCTGATTCGCTCACGTCGTCCCGGTGGTCACTAGGACGTCGGCTGTCAAGCAGCGCCCCGGACGTACCCGAACTCTCCACCAGCGTCGCTTCCGACGAGTCCAACCTGGACAGCGCAATCACCTCCACCTCCCGCTCAGACCTCTCTGCCTCTCGCCCCGACCTTCGCCGCCACGACTCGGCTACCAGCCATGCCCGTGGCAAGCACATGACTCCCATTGGCCTCGAAAAGGTCGTCAACTCAATACAGGAGAAGAAATTCATCGAGCCCCTCTCGCCTCTCCCAGCCGAGCTCGCCGCCCCGATACCCGAGCTCAAGCCAGCCGAGGAAGACACGACGCCTCGCAGCGCCACTCCCCCCTCGCATGCCCGCCCCATTCCCGAGGCCTCGACATCGACCGTCGCCACCAGTGTCGGCTGCGACATCATGAGCCCGGCAGTCGGCTCAGAGGCCAGCACCTCGACCGACGTGAGCGAGCACAGCGTCGTCCGCGGCTTTGAGCCTGGCCACATCTCCACCTCGATTCGATCGAGCACTAACCTCAACCCCACTCCCATCCTCAAGAAGACCTCGAGCTTCATCACCAAGCCGCTGCCCACAAAGGCCGACAGCACCAAGAAGAGGCAGCCCATGTTCACACTCGGCGGATCGTCCGAGGAGGAGAACTGCAGCTCCTTCGAGGCCTACTCCATGGCCCAGCGCAGCTCCCTCACCGAGCACCTGCGCAAGGCTGCTGCCCCCATGCGCAAGACGACTTCGTTCAAGACCGAAGTCAGCACCCGCACCTTCCAAGACGCCACCTCTGAAAGCGAGGCGGCCATTGAGAGCGACAGCGAGGATGACATTGACGAGAGCGCCATCGAGGAGGAGGACTCTGATGACGACGACTGGGAGGACGACGACAACGAAGAGAGCGGTCCTCCCAGCGTTGCTGACCGTACTCCTCTGTTCCAGCGGGTCGACTCCAAGCCTGACCTCACCTCGCGTCGATCGCTCCTCACCACCGCTCTTCATCAGGATGACCGCGCATTGGCGCTCCAGAACGCCGCATCCCGATCAACCCCTGCCATCCGTCGATCCCGCACATCGACACCAAACGGCCCCTCTACCGGCAACTCACCCCACGAGGACAGTGGTCTGATGATGATGCGATCCCAGGCCTCTCGCCCTAAGCCCATCATCATGACCACTTCCAACGTTCACCCACCGGCCATGTCTCCCAAGACGACGAGGCGCAACATGCTGACCTCGGAGTTGACTGGAAGCTTGAGGCAGAACCTGCTGTGGGAAAGGCAACAGAAGAATGCCACCACCAACGCAGTCGCAAAGCGCCAACAGAGCGCCGCGAACCTACCTGGCCTGCGCCGAGCAATGACGACGGGCGACGTCAAGGGCCTCAACAACAACGAACAACAATCACAAGCCAAATCATCGGCCTTCAAGGATGACAGCAAGCCCAGCAGCGCGTACAACCAGTTCTTCGACTCTGGGCTTGGCGATTACCACAAGTCTGGATGGTAATCAAGCATCATTCTTTTTTGCTTTTCAACGTTTGCACTTCTAGCGGCATCTATGGTTTGGCATTGAACCAGGGCGTTTTTGTGTTTTAATTATGCTCTTGTTTTTTTGTTTCTTTTTTTGCTCTCTATTCTACCTTTTGCTGCCCGTCTTTTTATTACTTTTGTTTTTTTGTTCCAGACTTTTTTATTGTTTGGCGGGCCGCCCAGTCAAAAGGGCGGGCCAGCCAATCTGGGGTAATGTTCAACCCAAAAAACTTCTGATACCATCAGGGCTTTGAGTATGCCCGACGAGGCTACGAATTTCTTTCATGCAGTCATTGCGTTTGGCATGGGATTGCGTCTTCTGTATGTGGAAGATGGGGTCACGGCTCACGCCTATCTGGTCTGTACTACTACTACTACTATCACCTGCACTGTACTTTTATCGGGCTTGTTTGCCCGAGCCACTATACCCTGGAATGGGACGGCTTTTGCGGAGCTGGCCCGATGATGGAAATATCCTCGCATGAAAGATAGCAGGTATTTGCCTACATAGGTACTTAATGACAAAAAGCGGATTTTTACATTACTCAAACGTTCGACCCTGCATTGCACGTGCGCGCTTTTTTTTTCGGTGACTTGTGATGATATGATGGGGAATGGGGAGGGGCCGCCGGTGAGGCCATGCACGAGACACCGAGGCAATACTTCTTGGGGCAGTTTTTTTGATTGAATTCTGTCGCAATGTCAGGTGTCCAGGGATTCAAAGTCCCAACAAAGAGACACATGCTCGATTTGGAGCCGTCTGTTTGGTAGCCCTCTTTACCGCTCTTCCGTATCATCTACCAGAGCTAGGTAGCCCAGACGAGCGCTTATGCACGCTTTGATGTAGGCTTCCCTGCGGCGCGCGCTGAATTACCACCACCCATGGCATGCAATACATGTCATGACTTTGGATACTTTGTCATTTATTATAACAAGGCAACCGTGGACGGCCCGTTGAGGACATGAGTAACGGGCTCACTTATCTTTTACAGATATAGCTCTTGGCCCGGGGGGGGGGGGGAATGAACAGACAGCCTTATTTTATGACGAAGCTGCGGCCTCACAAATTACCTCTGGCACTAGCAGAGAAGGCCGTCGCGGCCAGTCTGTATCTGCCAAACCGGTTCCCGCCTTTGTTCGGGCCGGCTTCCTGTCCACTGTGACTTTGAACTGCGGTGTTGAGACGGCGTGCCTCACCTATGCTGCACCGACTGCAACTCAACACCGGAAGGGCAGGATAGCTAATGTCCATGTAGGGTATGACCGTGGGCAATCAGGAGGTCGTGTCTCATGAAACACAGGCTGCACTCGATATACGCCAGCAATTGTTTGACGTGCATTATCGTGGGATCGGCGGCGGGCGAGACTCGACTGTTGCTTACTGCTTGCTGCAGGCCGCACCGCTCATCAGCCTTATGGCGCAGGCGCAGGCTGCGAGCCCAAGCCGACCACTGTACTCGCCCATGACACACACACACTCTCTCTCTCTCTCTCCCTCTCCTCTGCCCACGACACAGTGTCCCATCAACCACAACGGGCTTTCTGCGCAATCAAGCAAGGCGTGTCCCGATGGATGACAGTGACATGCTTAATGTCCGCCATATTCCATCCCGCCCACACATCCACATCCACATCCACACACACACACACACACACACAACGTCATGCTTGCAATGACTCCCACGCACGCGCGCGCCCCCGCCGCTTGTCCTGCCCTGTCCTCGACACCTTCTGCTTCGTCGCCCCTCACTACTGTAGAGTACTCTATTGACTTGCCGTCTGCCTACGCAAGCCTCGCCAGCTGACTTGCGGATAACCGTCTCGCCAATCTTCCCCTTCGACTTGGCTCAGCAAATGGGAACATCCACCCCGGATCGTACGGGCTCAGCTCAGCGGGCGGACCCAGTCAACCCGCATTGTTGACGCCCACCCTCTACCACTTGCCCCCCTCCCCCCGGAAGGCGTTTGATCATCTGGATGCTAAAAAAACAATCCTCTGTGTCTGCATTGGCGGACGGAAGTGCTCTATCAGGCACCCGCAGCAACTACCCCGCGGCAACCAAGTCGGTCTGGAGGTTGATGCGCTGGCAGTTTAGCGCCTGCGAGTGGTCATCTGAAGCCATACTCGACGAGTTATCTTGAAGATGATTCAGCCTCATGTACAAGGCCCCTTCCCGCCACGCCAAAATGCTCCCTGGCTATACTTGTGTCAAGCCTCTGTCTGGTAATACGCTGACACTCGTCGTCGCCGTCACCGTGATCGTCGCAACCGCTCCTCGCTACGGTTGGCAATCACCTGGGACCGGCCCTGCCCGCCCTTTTTATTTGTTGCTCCCGTGCAATCCAGGCGACATTGCTCGTCACATGAACTCGCTTTGTCACACATGTCCCCATTTCCACAAAGTTGGTCGTATATACATCCATCCATACGTTGGTGACGTGCCCCTTTTGTGCCAATCAATCCCATTGCTCGATGCAGATCTGGCGTCCTGCACTCGCATTCGAACTAATAACATGTTGAAATGCTTGTCTGCGTACGATGAAGCGGGAGATAATCAACTGCCGCCATGCGGCAAAGCAATACTCCACACAGCCTGTCTGCCTGCCTGCGCCGTCGACACCACCGTCAGATTTGCCCTGCTCAAGCGTCGTGGCCGCGGCTTCATACCCCATTGACTGGACACACGGAGTATTACACAGCGCCAGCATCTCCCGTCAATACATGCCGCATTACACCGCTTACGATCATCACTTCACAGCCTGCGACTCTTGAGAGACAACAAGACCTAGCCCAAGCCACTCGTCTCGCATACTACGGCTTATCACTCCAGTTCGCGGTACCATCTACCGCTTCCGGAGCAACAGACAGGGTGCCAGGATACATACATCAAGCCCTCCGCACACTTGCCCCACCCCCTCCTCGGCGCGCTGACGCCGTTGCTCACCAGTACCATGCGTCTTCGGCCCTACCGCCTCATTATCAATTGACCAGTCTTGCTTGGCACTACTTGCTACCCTTACATTGACAAGTACCAAGGACATTCCGAAAGCTGACCATATACCCCAACTCTTTGGAGCTGCATTTTGTTTTCTTTGCAACAAAGCACATGCATGTCTAATAGTCTTTGTCTCACCGCATCCACATTAACCATTACCAACAAAAAAAAGGCTATTGACGCAACATTATGCAAGCTCCACTTCGGAAAGTTTTGCTCTAAGAGCATATACACGTTAATCTTCCCGGGCCATCAAGGGCTCCGTGGCTTAAAAGCACAGGACCAGAAAAAAGATACCCCTGACGTCGTACTCCTTGAGAATGACTATTATTTAGTATCTTCTACGTCACCCTCTAGCTTGAGAGAGGCACTTGGCCAGTGCAATGTTATAGCTTTAGCTTCCATCGCTTCAAATGCAATTGGCACCTCTTGATTAACAGCATTGCTAACATCAAGCGCCGTTTGACATCCGCCTAGTCAGATGGTCTGTGGACTCGATCGCGATCCCACAAACTTTCCGGGAGATCTTGCAGTTGTATCTCGATGGATCATCGCGAACAACCTGATCAGAACCACATGAGCGGCCGCATTAACAACACGAGACCTACCAAGATTGCTCGTCTTTTCTTCCCGTGGTCTTGGTAACAGACAGATGTAGACTCCACTTGGATAAATCTATGCCAAGGCCGGATCTAGCCCTACGTCGCCTACACACCCCCATAGCCTACGTCACTCAGCCCGCCGAGCTTCCACACCAACTCGGACGACTTGTTTTCACATATTGGCCCATTGACTGCAACAATAGATCAAAGTTACCAGCCTGCGATGGCATCAGCAACGCTCAAACGTCCGAGGTTCCATGACGAGGGATCCCATAACATGTGCTCATGAACCTCTCTCGGCGGTGAGTACGATTGGGCCGGGGTAGGCCTGTACCGAACAAATACACCCACCAAAGTACTTTCGGCTATTTTTTTTTCCGCAAACACCGAGGCTTCTCTAATACGAACACATGGGCAATGGACTGCTCAAAGCCCCGTGTCTGAAGTGTGCTATGCTCCCAAGAGCTGATTTCCCGGCATGACGTTCTCGATCGCGAGCACCCTTTGCGATTCACAGACTCGGTCGTGCACCTGACTCGGCCCATGTCGCGCCCACGAGCCCTGTGATAAAGGACATGGCACACAATCGACCTCGAATAGATGCAGCCGGCATCGCAAGTCGAAGAGATCTCGGGTATTGGTCATGGAGTACGAGGCAACAACGATGCCAGTTGGTGGGGAAAAGACGACTTCATCTTGTGGCATGCAAGGCATGTGGCTTGGATCCAAAGGAGAAGCCGTTTCCTGGCACCCTACCGACAAGGCGCAACCTACTGCCAGCAAGCGCTTCCCCGTCCTCAGGTGGCATGGCATCTATCTGGGACAGGCCTCCTTGTCCAAGGAAGCTGAGATTCTGTTTTAAGCACACGGGGCAAACTCCGGAATCATGCAATGTTTTATTACCGACCCTGATTTTTTCTTGGATGATTTCTGACAGACGGAAGGTTTATCAGGATCAGGTGCTTTGGACGTTGCAGCGGCAAGGGTTTCCCCACAAGTCAGTACCGGGCGCCCCCGAGCTCAACTTACGCGGCACATTCGAGTGAGTATGTTGTACGCAGTATAATAATACCACTGGTCTCAAGAGCGTATAATTGTACTCAGCCATCGGCCGACGTGTCTCATTCTTACAGGCAAGGGGTAGGTCGGCGACTGGACTAAGCCACTGATTGTGCGCTCGTCGGGCGCTGAGATCACGAATGCGAATGGTATTGGAGTAAGCTGCGATGCGAACCGAAAAGACGCACTGCCTGGCAGCTGGCCATGCTCCTTGCTCCAACTCTGCCTGGCGCATGGCCGGAAGGATAAACGAGTCATGAGAGCACTTGTGTAGTCTCTCTCGTGTTGGGCGGCGAGCCTACGTGCGTAGCTGCTGCCGTTACATGTGAGGCCCAAGGAGCAAGGGGTGCTGAAATGCTTCGGATGAGACTTTGGGGGCGCGGACCGACCTGCTTGCCCTCGGCCCTTGCTCACGCGTTGGCTTCATTATCACTGAAAGGCTTCCTGGTCCCCACGTGTCAAGACATTCCAAGTGACGCCGAAACCCTGAAGATCCCCAAATCGGCGACGAGGCCGTTCCAAGTTTTTACCGCTACTAAGCCTATTTGTGTTCCAGGCATGGTGCAACCACCAGCGAGCGGAACGTTAATTAGCTTCCCCACTGGACCTTTACCCCGCAAGCCCTCTTTGGATATGGTTAGCTAAACAAACTAGGACAGTCCCGACGCATTTTACCAAGGCACAGCTGGGAGCGAAGACTTTCGGACATGTCAGGTGTTGCTGACAAGATTCGGGAACGGTGGTTACAGTTCCCCAGACGGGCAAACCCAGACGTGGCACGTCGACTAGTTTGTGATGACAAGGGGCGAGTGGCTGGCCCACCCCGTGCGCAAGCGACGTCAACCAAGATGGCCGCACCACTGTTTCCATGGATCTTCGCTGCTCGCAACTTAATCCACGACTGATATTGTCGTCATCATACCCATGCCCACAAAAGGTCCACTCAATTGCCGAATACCCCCAAAATCTGCCTCCCCACACATCCGAACACACCCTTATTTTTTGTAACGATCACGGGGCTCCGCAAAAAAACCAAAAAAAACAAAAGTCGATATTTTCTGGGGTCAACACTTGGACTCGTCACGAGCGGTCATGACGTACATCTGGAGAATGCAGGTACCACCACTGCCGATCGTACATTACCGAATACGGCAATCCGGATAAATTCTCCACTCAGCCTTGCCGCGTAAACGGTAGAAGAAATACACCTAGTAGAGCGGCCTCGTCAGCCTCGCCTGGCTGCATTGAATTGGGGCGAGCATGTACGAGTAGTGTACGTGCAAGACTAACTAAGCATCGCCACACATTACTGATAGCGTAGCTGCATCCGCAAATGCAAGCTGCAGCATTATCATCCTGTGAAACAGATATCACATCTCTCCCCATTATTGACATGGTCTAGCTTTTGCTGTGTACATGTATCTGCCGACGACCCATCCCACATTTCCTATTTTGGCATTGGTACCGGATACGTATCACGCCATTGTAGGGCAAGCTCACACCACAAACACGGGCAACTTGCGATTGTAAGTCTCCTTTGTCGTTGAAACGGCTTCTCTGTTTGATAAGCGATTGCGATATCGCTTCCCCGCTTCCCCGGAGACATTCAACAAACTGTTTGAAACCCAAGTGTCAAGCTTGATCCGATCAACCCACATATCCCAAAGCAGCATAGACTGGTGTTTTCCGTAATAGGCACTTGCAAATCAGTATGGAATGCGCAACCCTCACTGCATAGTGTATACACGCGCGCCCCGTTTATTCGATTTGAATGGGGGCAAATGGAAAAACGTGCATGGCGCGTGTGTGTAGTAAGTGACGTCACTTGTCTCATTATTTCGTTTCCTCGTATTTTTTGTTTTATCGATAATAAATACGAAGCGAAGCAGAGCGGATTCAGAAACTTTGACGACACACATCCATCATCGCTTCATCCTGCGAGCGTCAACAACAAACAACACGCCTTTTTTATTCGCAAATGACGTGAAGAAAAAAACCCGATAATGCCATCTTTGTTGGGAAAAACGGGATGATGTTGGCAGCCACATATGGGTAAGCGTTCGCCCTTGTGGGCTTTTGTGGCTTGGGTTTTTCTCGAAGCGGAGGCTGCATAATGCACACACATACACACACTCACACATGTTTCCCTTGCGTCTGCATCGACGACTTAGTTTTTTTTGTTGGCGCCATCGTGCCGTTGTTGCCTGGGCTGCACATGGGGGGACACGAAGGGGGGTAGCCGAGCTCTGCCGATGTATAGCGTATTTACACATTCCTAATGTGAAAAAAAATACATGTGTATGTGGAGATTTATGAATGATACTTGTAATATTCACATGTATGTGTATGTGTGTGGAGAGAGAGAGTACGTACACCTTACACTTACACGTGCCGCCATACTCGATTCTGCAACGCAAAACCCCACTGCCCACCTTCCTTCACATGGGACCTTTTAATTCCCTTTTTTTTTTCTTTCGCAGACCCAGAATCTCTGGAATCGAGTTTTGAAGTAATATCCCATCCAATCAACCGTCCTTTTTTTTCTTCAACCCAAATCATCGGATTTTTTCCCAGGTCATTTGTTCCCTCCGACACAAAATAATATCTCTCCACTTTTTTTTTCTCCACCCACTCTCACTCTTCACATGTCCGACAAGCTCCACTAGTCCACGTACGAAAGAAACCCGCGTACGAGAAACGAGAATCAAGGGATAGCAACCCGTGAAGCTCCGATAACAAGACCCACCACGCTTCTACCCGTCACCTTCTAGACCTTACTTACCCCCCCCACAACGGCGAAAAGGTCCAGTTTTTTTTTCCAAGTATTCTGGTCTTTCAAAAGTAGATATGTTGAGGCGCATTGGGGGGGGGTCTCGGATCGCTTTGCGCCAACCCCCTAGTTTGCTCCGTTGTTAAAGGAAGAGGTAATAATAGGGTGGACGGGACGACCGCCACGCAAGCAAGTGGGGGTTGGCGGGTTGGCGGGTGATGGGGGGATATCGGAGGTCGCGGTGTGGGTTCGGAGGTCGGTTTGAAGACCCGCAGACCCATAAGTCGTAAAGGAAATATATCGTTTATTACCCGCCTAGGAAAGGTAGATAAAGCTCCAAACGTGTGTGCTTCAAAGTGGGTCTATAGAAAGGCGAAACAATAGCTACAAAGAGAAACTGCACGGATGGGAAACTGTATGTGTGTTTTTTGGTCTTTCACATGTGAGCGATGCATGGAGTGCTAGTGTGCTACCGCACCTGGCCTAGTTTTACGGTTTTATCGGAGGGTCTTTTTTTTTAAAAAAGGTGGGAAAAAGTCGGAGGTACCGTACAGCTAGAGAGACTGGGCGGCGGCGCTATGCGGTTATGCCCGATTGTGGGTTCGGTGCAGGGGATGGGGGGGATTTGCTCAACAAAGGAAGAGGTGGCTGGGGATGATTTTTTTGGGAAGGTTTGATGGCTTGTGGTGAAAACATGATGTTGGAGGTTTTTTGGGGGGACGAGTGCAAGTTGGTAGGGAAGCAAGTGCCAGTTTGGTGGAGGGAAATCTTTCCGAGATTCTTACCGTGAGAGGAGGAGGTTCTCGACAAGAAGGGTGGCTGGAAAGTTTGTTTGATGTCTCGTGGTGAATGCAGTTGTTACTTTGGTAGAGGGTTCTTTGGGGATTGTAGATGGTAAGCTTCCAGAGCCATACAGAAACCTCCCGAGGTTCTTACCGGCTGAGGTTGGTGATGGGTGTGGCTTTTTTTTCTTTCTTTCTCGGTTCACGCTAGAAGCTTACGTGGAAGTAGAAGCTTTGGATCCTTGTTTCTTTCTTTGTTCTGGTTCTTCGCTTATGGGGTCGGGACGGAGAGGAAGGTTTTGTTGAATACATTAGCTAGATGGGTTTTATGTCCGATGTGGCGCCTACTATCTTAGTTACAGGGCCACGAAGACGGGTAGTGTGCATTGCTTTAAGCGCCAGGATCAGTATCCGGTGAACCCACAATTGCTTTCCAACGGTTCATACTTGTGGTTTTTTACTTGAAAAGAAACGAGAGAGTGATTGTGCTATGTAAGCACTACACTGAGCATACAACTAATAGGATGGTCCTTGCTTCTTCGTCTTGTTTCCCCTGTATCTCAATTTCTCTCAAATGCCCAAGTCCCGAAATTAGTCGTACTTTCTGATGGGCAACAAGAAGCTGAGACTGGGCCTAGACATGCATTTTATACATGTGCTGTCTTCGACCTAGTGAAGACATGTGTGGAGATGGTGAAGCAGTCTCCTCGCACTTACTAAATACGCAACTCCATTGCACGTTGTGATATACACTCATCTTTTTCCTATTCACGTCTATATATCCATGTGCAGAATCATACACGCATTGCTGTATCCGTTGCAATGCTAGTCCCGGTTGTCGACCGTATCCGCTGAGTACATAGTATCTTCTACCCTTTCACAATAGCAACAGTGACACTGCATGACTTAGTCCTTTTCATTTTTATATCCCATACCCATCTCAGTGTAAAACTCCTAAACATCTATCTACCACAATCTCTTTCCTCTCTTCACCCTGTTCATGTTTTAGATTCGTGGAAGGAAGACAGTCAGTCTTATTACTATAATGTCAAGCCAACATTCTCCCCTCATGACTTCGTGATTCGTCGGATGCACACGTAGTTCACGTTAATACACGGAAAAAAGTTCCGGGCAAAAACTCAATTGCAAAGAAAAGCTATCTTTTATCCAGCATTTCGAACAAAGCTGTAAACACACTCGACACCAAAAGAAGTGACCAAAGCACTTCTACCTCGAAATATACCAGACAACGTGTGAGACTTCCTCGCTTACCATCAAAAAACTACCATCTATCTCTCATATCTCTCATGTAACCATCTTTTCCCACCCACATTCTAATACCTCCTTCCCTACTCCACTCTGCTCTTCCTTCAGTACACTACTCATCCAACCCAACCCACCCATTCCTCCTTACACATAGCAACACCCCAATTCCTCAACCTAACCTATCATCCCTGAAACCCATTTTCCCACTTTGAACTGCCCCTATTCACTCAAACGACTTCCATATAGCACATTACTTACAAATAAGCATCTACAGACGACCTCTAACGTCTAAAACTTCTAGTAGCACACACTCGCAAGTCCGCTAGCAACAAACAAACTACGGGGGAGAATAAACCAATACTGGTCCCATATTACCACCACTGGACGAATTTCAGTAGCCGAGTGAGAATCACTTAATTCAAGTTGGAGCTAGAGATAGGGCACCAGACAACTTTTTCCAAAACACCTCCATTATCCTAGAGTAGTTGGAGAAAAGCAACATGATACGCCGCGTCGAGCTGATGACACCACGGAGTAGTACAGTGCAGTTTAGCCATTAAGGTATGTAGCAATTATATTCATCTACATTTGAATGCTTTTTACTATTGTAACCACTTATCACTTGAGGTGACGTTATCAAGACAATTCAAATCCGGGTATTCTAATGCACAGAGACTCCAACTCGTACAGTATGGAACGTAAGAAGAATAAGCATTGTTTTCGTCATCACAACTGTCAACTCATAGAAGCAAAGTCCAATGATCATTTCAAAGTCATGTGTCATCATGATTTGTATATTTCTTATTCGTTTTGAACAGTCTATGGGTATACCAGTGACATCTCGATGCTTTCTAACTAGTCTCAAGTCTCAAATCTCGCTACATGCTAGTATACTCGAATCGGACACTAAGTCTAGTACCGTCATGACATTGCATACGGCAGTGACATGCGTGGCGTTTAGAAATCCTGCTCTCCGCTTCCGGCAATAATCACATTGTTGACCTGTGCCGTGTGTTAGCCCGTGTGTGCTGTGCATCATTGCCAACGAAAGTGATGCAAAAAACAAGTTACAAGTAGCCGTAGATAGCGACAAGAAAACCACAGGTGACACAAATGGATGCCGCGTTTGTCGCATGTAACAGCAAAAGACGAGCGTGCATGCAGGCATTTGTGCGGCCGTGACCGTACCTTCCCCGCTTCCCCGGCATCGTGATTGAGTCAAGGCTGTAGTGCAAGGGATACCGGGGATGGCGACGTCGCACAGACAACAGACAACAAAGAAAGTTTGACGCGAAAAGGAAAAAAAAGAAGGTATGACGGGGGAGCGACCCGGGGCATGTTACGAAACACCAAAAGTTACAATACGTACCTTGAGTACCATACGGCACAATTGTGTAGCGAGCAGCAGCTGTTGTCGCTTCGAGATCAGAGGATCAATGACAAAATGCTCCTTCATATCTGCAGAGAATGCCACGTTAGCCAAACATTCCATATCAGGCTGCCAACAATGCCCGTGGTACTGTGAATGGAAGTGACAGCACTGCACGGGCGGCTCAGATGACTCTCATCTCCCCCACCCAGGATTGTACCATGCCAGCGCAGCACTGGATGCGTGGGGTAATTTCATCCCACCCCACGGTGGCGTCAATTGAGTTGATGCACCGCGGAACACATTCCCCCAAACTGCTGGGGTCATGCAGGTTGACCGAACGGCGGTGAGAACCAATGCAACCAAGTGCCGCTGAAACGAGAGGGATGCATTGTTTATGACAACCACTAGAGAAGGGGTGCACTTACCATTGGAACCTGTCTGCATGCAGTCAACACCTAACCGGTAGTTCTTCTCCTTGGCCTGTCGGGACTTGATATTGGCAAGGGTTTCGATTGGGCTCAGACCAGAGTTCTCAGCCAACGCCATGGGTACCGAGTCTAGGGCGTCAGCAAAAGCACGCATCGCGTATTGCTCCAGGCCGGGGCTCTGGAAGGAAGATATTAGCTCCTATTCAATGCCGATACCGCGTGGGTGTTGCTTACCTTGACTGCCGCATCTTCGACGGCAAGCGAGCATGCTATTTCAGCCGCACCTCCACCGTACACAATGCGGCTATCTCGCACCAGGTTGCGAACGACGCAAAGAGCATCGTGCAGTGATCGCTTAGCCTCG